CCCCGCCTCCGTGGCACTCCGGCAAATCCCGCGGCCCTGCGGCTGAGGACCGGGCGTGGGGGTCTTAGGGGCTGAAGGCGCGGGTGGAGCCCTGGGGCTGTGCACCGCGGAAGGTCTCCGTCTTGCTTGGGCTGCTGCTTTGCGCCACTGGAAAGGAGTGCCAAACGCGGCGGGGCAGTTTCCTGCTTCAGCACAATGCCCTGGCTCGTTCTCTGCTAATCTTGGAAAGTGGCCGAGGAGAAACGCCCGACTACGTGGGGAGAGCACCACCTGCTGGGCCACGCCTGATTCTCGCCGAAGCCCCGAAGCAGCACCCTTGGGTGCGGCGGGCGTTTGCCGCCCTCGCTGCGAAGTCAGCGATTTGCGGGCCAGGATGCCTCCCCCTCCCCGTCCCCGTATACGTATCTAGCCCCTTGCCCGGCGTACCTGCCAAGGGAGTGGCCCTTTCCTCTGTGTCAGACTCCTTTAGTCTGAGCCAGCCAAGCTGTTACATTGCGGCTCGGAGCGATCCTGACGTCGCCCAGCTTGACAGCGGTGCACTCGTGTTTCTGAAAGCGAAAGCCGAAGCCAAATAGAGTGGAAAGGGCGGGGATGCATAGCCTGGTGTGCCCCAGCTGCGAGGGCCAGGCTTTGAGACGGCGAAGAAGGGCTGCCTCGGCCTAGGAAAGAAGGAAGGGCCGCGTGAATTAATCGCGGCCCCGCGCGGCCTCCGCTGGGCCTCATTTCTTCCTCAGCTTCTTTCCTGTCAGATGTTTGGCTGCGTGAGCCAGTTACGTGCTTGTAAACAGCGTTTGAACTCGGTAGCATTACCAAGAGACAATGAAAACGTTATCTAATCTGATTCTTAAGATACATCCTAATGGCTCTTAACTAAGTTCTCTGCCCAAACCACTATCAGGTCGTGCTTCATATCTAACTTCATAGATTGTACAAGATTCACAGTACCTTTATGACACAAAACTTGGATCTCAGATACAGATTCTCAAAGATTTTAAATGAAGAGTATTTTTAAAAAGCTATGAATCTGTATTGCTGAAAATTAGTGATGCAGCTGGCTATCATTTGGGGGCAGGAAACACCTAAATACAATCATGTTTCCTAAAATAGGTTTAATGATTTTATAAAACTTCCCCCAAATAACTTCAGCCCTGCAGATGTACATCACACAGAAGCTCCACTTTTATAGCACTTTGCTATCCACTTTTCATAGCTGGATGACACACTTAATTCTTAGACCTTCCAAAATTGTTAATAGTAACCTCCAGCCATCAGAAGACTGCCCATGCATAGTTGAACACACAAAAAACTTTCACCAGGGAATTAATATATTATACAGCAAACCAAGCAATCTT